GTCAGACTTTATTGCTACCCCTGATCTCAAGTGGCAAAAGGAGGTTCCACTGACATAAAAAAAAAAAATCCTTCAAAGCTTCCTTTTTCCTTTTCTCCATCTTTCCTTCATTCTTCATTACTCTTGTGTGAGTGTGTGTGTGTGTGTGTGTGTGTGTGTGTGTGTGGTACCAGGGATCAAACTTGGGTCCTTGAGCTTGCAAGGCAGGCAGAGACACCACTGAGCTAAATCCCCAGCCCTATGTTACCCTTATCTACCTCAAACTTAGATTCTTTCCTTTGCTTGGTGTACCAATTCCTGACTGTTTTTGTGCTTTTTTGTCTCTGTGGAACTTATTTGCTGTCTTTCTTCCTTTTTCTGCAAAAATAATAAATTTGTTTCGCTTCTCTGTCCCCTCCAATGCAGTTCTTTTTATTTCATTTTTTTCAGAAATGGAATTTTTATATTAATTATTGAATATATCTTTATTTATTATTTGTAATTTTCAAGGATTAATGACTACCAAAAGGAAATAGGCAGCCTATAACACAGAAAGCCCTGTTATCTCTGTAGAATTGCTTTTTTCAATAAATAATGAAAATTTAAATGAAATATTTCTGGAATATAGCTGTATATAAAGGAATCTTAGCATGAAGTCATGGGAATCTAGAGCTTTAAGATCAAATAAGAGATCTTTTTGTTATACAAAGAACAGTAATTAAGGTTTGAAAAATATTTCTTTTATTTCTTCAAAAATTAAAAAAAGAATTTTATCTTTTACAGTGAAATTCCCAAGGAGTCCTTGAAGGCCATTTTGTTAGAGTTAGAATGTCATTTTACATGGAATTTACTTAAGGAAGACATTGATGTGTGTGAGGTAGAAGACACAATTGGGCAACAGCTTGAATTTCTTACCACAAAATCCAGACTTTCTCTTTATAATTTATTGGCCTATGTGAAACATCTGAAAGGCCAACATAAAGATGCTTTAAAGTGCTTGAAGCAAGTAGAAGAAATAATCCAGAGAGATCATGCAGACGAAGAGGAAGTTCGGAGCCTGGTCACTTGGGGAAACTATGCCTGGGTGTCTTATCACATGGACCAGCCTGAGGCAGTTCAGAAGTATATAGACAAGGTAGTGCATGTCTGCAAGAAATGGTCCAGTCCTTCTAAGTACAAGTTGGAGCGTCCTGAGATTGACTGTGACAAAGGGTGGGCACTCTTGAAGTTTGGAGGAAAGTATTACGAAAAGGCTAAAGCAGCTTTTGAGAAGGCTCTGGAAGTAGAACCTGATAACCCAGAATTTAACATTGGTTATGCCATCACAGTGTACCGGCTGGATGATTTTGACAGAGAAGGGTCTGTGAAGAGCTTTTCCCTGGGTCCTCTGAGGAAGGCTGTGACTCTGAACCCAAATGACACCTACGTTAAAGTATTTCTGGCACTGAAGCTTCAAGATGTACATGCAGAAGCTGAAGGAGAAAAGTATATTGAAGAAATACTAGACCAGATATCATCCCAGCCTTATGTCCTTCGTTATGCAGCCAAATTCTATAGGAGAAAAAATTCTTGGAACAAAGCTCTTGAACTTTTAAAAAAGGCCTTAGAGGTGACACCAACCTCGTCTTTCCTGCATCACCAGATGGGACTTTGCTACAGGGCACAAATGATCCAAATCAAGAAGGCAACATGCAACAGACCTAAAGGAAAAGATAAAGCGAAGGTTGAGGAGCTGATTACATCTGCTATATTTCATTTCAAAGCAGCTGTGCAACGGGACTCTATGTTCACCTTTGCCTACATGGACCTCGCCAACATGTATGCTGAGGGAGGTCAGTATCGCAATGCTGAGGACATTTTCCAGAAAGCCCTGCACCTGGAGAACATAACTGATGATCACAAACATCAGATCCACTACCACTATGGCCGCTTTCAGGAATTTCACCGTAAATCAGCAAATATTGCCATCTACCATTATTTAAAAGCCCTAAAGGTCAAAGACAGGTCATCCTTACGTTCCAAACTGACAAGTGCTTTGAAAAAACTGGCTACCAAGACACTTTATCACAATGCTTTCGATGTGCAGAGTTTAAGTGCCCTGGGATTTGTTTATAAGCTCGAGGGAGAAAGGAGGCAAGCTACTGAGTACTATGAGAGAGCCCAAAAGATAGAACCTGAAAATGTAGAATTCCTTACTGCTCTCTGTGAGCTTCAAATTTCTGTTTAAATACATACTCTAGGAAATTAGTTCTCAGCTTTCCCTTTCATTTTGGGTTCTCATGTTGTTGTTTTAATCCATGGTTCATTATAGAGCCAATATTTCTTAAATAGTGTATATCAAATATCATACTAAATTTTTATGCATTATGATGAATATTTTGCTGTTTTCTCTCTTCTCTTTAGTTAAAATATTACAATCTATTAAGAAACAGCAGCAGTCTAGCTGTTGTAATTTTTTAAATGGTATGATCATCATGACTTTATGCCTTTTATCTATTTACAATATTTTTCTAATTAAATTTTGTCAAATTTCCCTTATTACCTATAAAGTCAATATAATCATAAAATGAGTTAAACTATTAACTATGTAGTTTGCAAAATATTCAAATGTTCCAGTTATGGCTGTTTCAACTTTAACAAGGATGTTTAACTGCCAACCTTATAAGTCACCTGAAGAATCCTTTTTGTTAGAAAAAATAATAGTAAAAATTCATCTCTGGTGACTTTAATAAAGACAGAAAAACTAAACAGGAGAAGATTTTCTCAAATTCTAAATAACACAGAACTTAGGCAATGCATGAGAAATCAGAAATAGCATCTTCCAAAATGTTCATTTAATACTTCAAAAATATGAGAAAAACTGAGTAATGGACAATATTAATCTTGTATTACTATTGTTTTACTTAGAGAAATAAACTAATACTGAATCTACATGGAAGTGTATTCCTTCCAATTAAAATTGCAGTGTTGTTCAATTAAAATCATTGTAAAACTTCAAATAATGCAGGAGTATACTCATCCCCTCCCTTCTTTCTTACCCCATTTCTCTGTCCCTTAGATGACCTGGTTGTATGTATCCTTCCAAATCTATTTTCTATGCACATTCAAACACACATAAATAGTTGCTCTTTTATTTTATCTCTTTAAGAAAGAAGAATGATCTTTAAACAGTATCATGCCTTTTAAAAATTTTAGTGTTGCCTCTCAAAACAAGTCATTTAACCCACTGGGAATAATGAAATGCAGGTTATATTTCCAAGTAGGGACCTCTTGCACAATAAAATACAGTCATTGTATCAAAACAGATACAAATGTAAGCCTTTTATTTAAAACAATAGGAAGCTTTAAGGTCTCTTAAGGTACTAAATTCACCTGCCATTCTTAACACATTGAAATACATAAGAAATTGTACTAAGAAAATGTGGAACCAGAATATGAAAATACATCAAAAATTAATGTCTATAATAATTTTAAATTTTATCACTAATTGTGCTTACCATCTTAAAACATAAAACTGTTTAGATAATTTCATAGACTTTGATATTTAAAAATATCTTTATCAGTTTATCATTTTGAAGCCAGAATTATTTCCCTAAATAGATAATTGTATCTTTAGATAGCTCTTCTTCGGATAAATTTGTTCCTTCCCTTTAAGGAAGACTTTGGGTCTATAATTTACAAAATTAGAACTAATACTTCACTTGGCAAAAAAAATCTAACTCAGAGTCACCCACACAGAAATGGGAATGCAACGTCTTATGTACCCAATAGTCAAGAAGCTGTGCTCTTTCCCAGAGGGATAGGCTGGCCATCAAATGCATATTTTGCAGTATTATTGGAAGTGAAGTGATGCTGAGCAGCCGTATACCAAATGTCTACCTATATACCTTACTGTATTTGAAGATAGTTGTGTCCTCTGTCTCCACAGACTTAAGTTAAATATTCCATTTCTGTTCTCCTTTCCCCTGTAAGACACTCACGTCTCCTCTCCATCTTAGTCAATTTGAATAATCCTCAGATTGGGCTCAGAGTTTAACTCAGTACCCAAAGTGAGGTTTTAGAATGATGATAGAGTGATTCCTTCTTCTTCCTATGAATGATACTTGCATTTACATAGCCAAAATCAAAATACCCAGTTGGTACCTATTTCTCACACATGCCATTTTGAAGCACATCTTTCACATACCTGAGAAGTGAGCTTTTTCAAAATGTTTTTTGTCTTGGTTGTATTTAGTGCTTCATTTCAGCTCTCCTATTCATCATGGGTGTCCAACTTTTTGGGCTTTCCTGGGCTGCACTGAGTGAAAGGAAAATGTCTTGGGCTGCATATAAATGTATAATATAGTTAATGCATATAAATAATAAAAAGACTTTTAATATTCCATCTACATAAACACATACAATACCTGATACACACTGGTTTCAGTTCACTGACTGAACGGTGGGTGCAGGAGGCAGAGTTAGCACCACATTGCATCCTGCCCTACTGAGTGAGTCATTGTGGCCTACACAGTCCAGTTCACGCTCCAGTACCTCACAGTCCAGTCGTGAAAAAATTTCGCTAAATATTGCATGTAATACTAAACGTTTGCAGTCTTGTGGGGCTGCATCACTAGCTGTTCAGAAAAGCATGGAGAACTGGGCCTCACATAGTGGCAACCAGGAAGCACCGAGAGAAGGGAGAAGCTGGTGAGGGAGATACACTTCGCAGTTACCCCCAGCGAACCACTTCTTCAGACCAGTCCAGCTCCCACAGCACATCAAGCTGTGCAGTGCTCAGTGGATCAGCGTATTGGTGGGTATCGCGCCCCTAGTATCCAATCACCTTTCAAAAGCCCTGCCTCCGAGAACACGCGATTTGGGAGAGGAAATTCTGGATTTACATTGTAACATAGCCCAACCACACCTACCTCTTTCTGTGGTAGTTGCATGTTTACCAAGATGTTTGTTCATGAAAATATTTGTTATATTTCACTTTAAGAAAAAGAGAGAAAACAATAACCCAGAATCTAACTGCCAAAAACATGTACAGAAATGGAGTGACTGCTCTGACCTAAGAGGTGCCTACAAAAAGAGATGAACTAGGATTCTTGGTGCCTTTCATGATGACAGCTTAGCCAAGTAAACAGTTGAATAATCACAGCTAATTCTCCTAGGTGCTAAGTGCAGGATATATATTAAGCTTACCCTATTCTTATAAAATCCCTATAAATATAGACATTTTATCATTTCCTTTTATAAATGACTACTTTGGAATTTAGGGATATTAAATAAATCCAAGGTCATTTGCCTAATATGAAGTAGTAAAGGATTTAAACTTTAGATGTCTGGTCCTAGAATCTACTACTTACCAACTCTATGATATTTTCTAAATACTCCTAAACTATGGGGTGAAAGATATATGCAGATTGGGTCAAATCTTTTCGGAGACTCAGAATTCTAGAGGACCACCCTGAACTCTAATATTCTGCAGTCACGGGTTATTTTGCACAAAGCCCCAGAATTCCCCAGAAGGAAAAAAAAAAAAAATGAAAGAAAACTCACTTTCGACGCTGGAATTGAAATCTTGTCTGAAATGCATGGAGAGAATGGTGCAAGAAGTCAAGGGACTCCATCTACAGCAGGAGCTTCTCTCAGGCAGTAAATTCCTCAAAAAAGGAAGCAATCTGCTTGAGAAGAATTATTACCCAGTTAACATTCCCTGGGTTTGCTCTGAATATCCAAAACACTGACTCTGAAAAGTGGCCCTTAGCTCCTGACTTAAAGTAATTTGGTTCAAGGGTAGCTTTACTGCTCTTTAGGTGCTTTCCCTTTTGGGTATTAGGCCAGCGCCAGCAATCTCCCCAGAATAGAGAGCAAATGTAAACAACAAAACTGAGAATGATTTGCAGACCATTTGTGTATAAAATCCTTTATTGAGACGGTTTCAGAAGATAGAAGAACGTACAACAATATCAGACAATCCCTACTCTTTAGAAAGAGGGGTAGGGCCTGGGATTTAGCTCAGCCTGCCTCGCAAGCGCAAGGACCTGAGTTCGATCTCCGGTACCACATAAAAAAGAAAGAAAGAAAGAGAAAGAGGAGAGATAGGGAAGGAGAACAGGGGGAGGAGGGAATTGAGAGGAGAGAAAAGAAAGAAACAAAGGCGGAATGGAAGAAGGGGAGAGGAGAAGGAGGCAAAGACTGAGGCGAGGGAAAGACCTCAGTCACCCCTCCTTTCCTTTTTCCTATTTACCACTTACTAGGACACAAGTCATCAAGTCCCTGTCTTGATCTTCCTGCCTCTTCCCATGTTCTAAGTCTTGCCAGAGTCCCTATGCCTAGTCTTCTCGTTCCAAAACAAAAAGTAATTCCTCTATTTTCCTTAAATAGAGCAATTCCATTTTCTCTATCTCTTATCTTTATAATCAGCCACACATCCACCAATGCATAACCAAATTTATCATTCATTTTATTCACCAGAAGAATCTTTCATTTTAGCATGGCCTATCTTTCTTTGAAGGCAGTTATAAATAAGTAACATCCCCTTATAGACCACACATTTTAAAGTTAATCCAATGACTGTATTTATCATGATCTTCTATGCGCTGCAACAAGAATTTTTTATTATTTTATTTTGTTTTTATTTTTATTTATTTGTTTATTTTTGGTGCCGGGGATGGAGCTCAGGACCTTGCACTTGTGAGGCAGGTGGCGGCCCCACAGAGCTAAATCCCCAGCCCTGTATTATTATTTAAAATCAACACAAAATTCTGGCTCCTACGTCATTTGGTTTCAACACTTTGCAGAACTAGACTTCTGTTAATATGTTCAAGGTTCTGCATCTCACACTTAACCTGTTATCGACAACCATCAAATCAATTAACATACTGGTGGAGCTCACAATGTGGCATACAAAGGGGACGCAGGTCCTGAGGAAAGCACAGGGCTCCCCAGAATAGTTTTACACTAACTCTTACCAGTGGCCATCTCTGGTCAGCTCAAACTCACTGCTCATTTTCTTTGCTGCTCCACATAGAAGACGGACAACAGGCGATCAAAATGTTGAAAAATGCCACACTGCATGTCTATCCACGTATGTGTACTGGAAAGAGGAAGAGGATGAATGTGGGATGGGTAATGAGCAGAGACTAGGGTTGGAGAAGGATATAATAGAAAATTGAAATGTTCTGTTAGCATCGCAAAATTGAAGGCACCTGCAATTTCTTGGAATCCTTAATTCCAGCAGATGGCAGTGCTGCATAACATCTCAATTTAATTTTTTTTTCTGATTTTTTTTTTTTAAAGCTCTAGAGAGAACAGAAAGTTTACAAATATTTCCTTTTTAGAGTTGAAAGGTGAATATTGAAGTACAACCCAAGTCCTGAAAATTCCTTCCTTCAATTTAGAGAAACCAAATGCAACCCCAAGTTTCAGCAACTCCCACAAGTCCCAGGCATGTAGCGGGCCCCATAGGCCAAGCGCTCCCCTCCACTTTGCTTGGTTCTGCACATTCGTGCGTGTCTGCTGGAACATCAGAACCTCGCATACAGTGGCTGCCCCACATCCTTTCTCCCACTCCCAACCTCCTCCCTGAAAAGAGTCGGGGTTGATTCCTACTCCCATCCCTATTTTAGGATTCTTTGGATCAGCTTCACATTTTTTCCAGAAACCATAAAACTGAGTTAGTTTCACTTTGCTAAGTAGTAAACTTAATGTCATGTAGTGGATGCTGTGTGTGTGTTCATGTCAAATTCCAAAGAGGTGTTCAATAAATATTTGATTGGTGAACTCCTCTTACCATCTCTTAAAAACTCTTGCCAGCCTAATTCTCAGCTATACACTATTCTTTTGGAGTCATCCATGGGGTTGGGGAATGACTCCAGTAGTGGCTTCTACCTGGTCTAACCCTGGCAGTTTTCACCTCCAAGCTGCCTTATGGACTAAACCCCAAAGCATGTGAGTGTGACCTATCTTTTCCCAATGTTAGAGTTCTCTATGAGCTGTGCCCCTTCCCTCAGGGTTTCTACTGATTAGTACAAAATGGAGCTATCTTATTTAAATGTGACTGGGTTGGAACACTGAAGTATCATTTTTCATTCAGGCCTTAAATCAAAGGCTTGGTTACTTAATATCTTTATGTTATATCATTCTGTCCACTCTTCCCTTTGTTACTTTCATTCCTTTCCCCAACCTGCCCTGGAGTGTTCAGTGCTGTGGACATCCTGATCAGAAGGTGACACCTGTCACAGGTGTTCTGTTCAGACTCACTGAATTTGGAATAATACATCCTATCTGTTCTGGGCATAAGAGCAACTGAACACAAACCTGCCCCAGTCCACCCTTCCATCTACCCCACCCTCGTTTGTATCATAATTCTTAGCAATTTTTTTAATTGTTTAATTATTTTTTGTTTAATTATTCACTTCACTGACTTTATTGGTACATTTTACGTATGCAGTACAGTTGCGTTCATCATTGGGATCTTGTACCTTTACGTGACAGGTCTTGATTCTCATTTTTTCCACACACCCCTGCCCTCCCTTCACCCCCTCCACCCTCCCCTGAATACAAACACTTTGTTTCCATTTTTTCCTTTACTCATATTTTTTTCCCTTATTTCCTTTCCTCTACCCTTCTAGCCGTTTTTTTGTGGGTTGTTTATTTGTTTGTTTTTGGTACTGCAGATCAAACTCGGGTTCTGACATTTGTGAAGCAGGTGGTGGAACCACTGAGCTAAATCCCCGGCCCCTCTTCTCAGCAGTTTTAAAATGTATTCTTTATTTGTTTTCATTCATGTATTCATTCACCAAGTTATCTATTGAATATCCATTATATGGCAGACACTGATAAGTCAACATTCTTATCCTTGGTGACTTGTGGTTTGGGAGTAGGTGGATGAAATTTTAAAATAAACACAAGAATAATCATAGTTAAGGTATGTTCTTTGTAGGAAAAGAAGAGGGTACTATGCAAACAAATGATATCACCATATGTAAAATGCCTCAAGCTGGGGGCAGATGGGAGGCTTGGTGTTGAGAGTTTTCAGAGAAATGTCGTCCAATAGGCAGAAACTTCCCCTTGTGCAATCTTGTAAGCCCTATTCCAGCATGGGTACTGAATGCTTACACCAGACCTATAAATACGATGATTCTGAAAAAGCACTTTCTTTCCCCTTCCCTGACTGAACTTTTGAAACTAAAGTCAGATATCTGAATTCTTCCATCTCTGCTTTGGTGGAGCATAATTTAGAGACCCAGAGGCCTTGGGTGTCTTTCAGAACAAAGAGGAGGCTCCACCTCTCTCTCTAACTTCAGACTTTTCCCTACCGTGACCCACACCTGGACCTCGCTCTGGCCCCAGTTGCAAAAAGCAAGCTTTCTAGGAATGAGAACAAGCCTAGGATCGGGATCTGCAGCTCTTCCATCAAAATATTCCTTAGTAGGAAAAGACCTAAGTTGAGAAGAAATACTTTCATGAGAAAACTTTTAAAGGACTCATTGAAAATGATAATCTTAATACCTTTTAATGTCAATTAAAGCCTGAAAAATAAGGTACTTTAATTTAATTTTAGGTCCCGAATCCTTCAAAGAAATCTCTGACTTTTAAATAATCAAGAGCAATAATGACAGTAATGAGGACCTTAAGTACACTTTTAACACTACCCTAATCCTCAAGTAGGTAATCCCACAAGGGGGCAGGAGAGGAGGAAATTTGAATCTGCAATTTAGACCTAAGTCATAGCTTAATCCTCTGTATAAAAGAGGTGGCTTGTTTTTAACCAATAGTACAGTACTAATCACCTGTATCTTCTGATAAAATGTACAGGTTATTCTTGCCAAATTCAGTTATTCCTCCATAGCTGAAGGAAAATGTGTCAAGTTAATACCTTTCAAATTGCATCAAGATTTTAGAAGCTGAGGGATGGGTTTATCAAGTTGATTTTATTCTTTGTACTTTTGTGTATGTTTGAAAAGTTCCATGATAAAATGTTTTGTTTTAAATGTCAGGCTTTTTGTGATTATTTAATATTTTTGCACTCCCCCACCAAACATTTTTCTTTCTAATGGGGTAAAATTCTAGTCATCTGTCACTGATAACTGTTCAGTAACAAGTATAAAAATCTGTTGTTTGGTGGAGTTAAAAAAAGAATTTTTTTAAAGATTCAAAATTTGAAGTATGAGGTGAGGAACTCAGATGTCTACGCTGAATTCACACTATTTCCCTTCCATAAACAATTTCAGAATTAGACTTATAGGGACCAGGATAGTAAGAATCCAGTAGACACTGGTGTTAGAAAAGTTACTTCAAAAGTAACTGCTGTCAGGCCATGGATTTAGCTCTGTGGCACTGTGCCTGCCTTGCAAGTGCAAGGTCTGGAGTTACATCCCCAGTACCCAAAAAAAGGAACTGCTGTCTGGAAAAGCACTGCTTAGGGAGTTTGGAAGGTGAAACTTTGAAACAAAGTAGGTGCCCTACTCCTTTCCCAGGTGCTATCATCCAACTGCAACCCAGTTTTACAGAGTTCACATTCAAGTCACTGTAGTCTACTTAGCTGTAGACCTGGTGGCTCAGTTTCCATATCTACAAAACTGTCATAATATAAGTCAATATAAGGATTAACAACACATAAGAAGTACCTAGCACACAAGACATCATCACTGAAGGATTTTGTAAATTCATACATTTTAGCGTAATTTAGACAGGCCCACTCACCATTCTATGAAGAGCCTTTAGTCAAGACAAAAATTGTTCCAAACAAACAAATCGATATAAACTCACTTTATTTTGATTTTGAAATAGGAAAATTTTAGCATATATATCTGATTAGTGAAACTATAATCAGAACAAAGGACTCAATAGTACAGGCGAAAGTTTATTCTGCATTTCTTCTCAGTCAATTCCAAAGTAGAACTTACAGTGGTATAAAGAAATATTTAAGATGTAGATTGATTCCACTCCAGTTTTTTCTTGTTTCCATAAAGTATATAATTTCCACGAATCCCTCAGTTTTGAAACAAACAGCATATGCACATGAAACATTAACCGTAAAATTCTGCGTATATAGCAAAATTGTAGACTCTAAGATCTACATTTTTTCTTACTAGTTTTTTTAATGCTGCTCCAAAAGAGAAAGTACAGTGCAAATTTATGTGTGTAAAAGTTAAAATATCTCAAATGTTTTTATACAAATCTTTAAAACCTTTCATCGCTTTGCTCATTTTCATAAATACTTACAATACTTTAGAGAAATTATACTACAGAACTTTACTGTGATCACTATGAAAAAATATTTATAAGAATATGCTTCAAAAAATCTCTATATTTGAAGATTCAAGAAATGACGCTTGAGATAAAGTGCTATTCCAAACCTGTATAACTTCATTTTAACTTTGATTTTTTACATATATTTTCCTTTTTTTTTTTTTTTTTGGTTGCAATGAGAAAGCAAATAGAATCAAAACTAATCTTCAAACTAAAGAAATAATATATAACATTAAAATTTCTCTTTGGAAAACAACCTGGAAATATTATCATATTGTACCATCAGACCAAGTCTTATTTCATTCAGAAAGCAATGGATTAACATCTGATTGTTGTGAGATAATCTGGCTATAAGCAAGGGTTCTTTAGCCACCCTAAGATCTTCCTCATTGTTCTGCATCCTCCCAGCATCCCTGGCATGGCACTTGGGAAGTCTCTTGGGGTTCAGTAGGTTAAATGTCCTATAAGCTCAAAATATCTCCTAGAAGTTTGGATTTGAAACTCTTGAATAATTAATAGTCCTTCTTTTAAGTCTATCACTTGCCCCTGTTTGCAGGTGTGAGATGATTTGTGTTTTGATTCGAGCAGTTTTAAGCAACCTGGCAGGCCTCGAATTTCTCTTCTCTATCCATGCTCTCCCTTTTTAAATTGAAAACTCAGAAATGATCCCAAACTGCAGAGAAGTGGGGTCCTAGGGAATGAAAAGCTACCTTACACCAAAGTTATGTTTCCAATTATTATCCGTAAAGAGATGAAGAAAACTGTGTGTTGGAACAAACATGGATACTACGAGGAAAGAATCTCATTTTTAGAATATCTCCAAGCGAAGATCTTTCAAGTAAAACCCTCAAGTTTTTTTTTTTTTTAGGGCAATGATGAACCTAACGTCTGATCTACAAAGCTATCTCTCACCAGAGACCTGCTGATTCAAGAATTTAATTCTCGTCCAACTGGAATGGTGTCAACATTTTTTACTTCCTAATAGGACTGTGTCTGCACTTTAAATAAGAGCTTTTTTTTTTTTTTCCTGAGGAAAACAACATGGGAAGTTTTGATTTTATCAGCATTTTGGTAAAGATGGAGCCGTTGTCCTTGAAATTGGATGTGCTCTGCTAAATTTAGAGTAAGTATGTAATAATAACAGAGGTGAGTGCTGCGAAACATCCAAGGAAAAGAGCTTTCTGTTTCAAGTGGACTATTTCAAATAGAATATCTCACCAGCCACCCATTAAGATCCAATCTAGCCATGCCATTTCATGATTCACTGGGTTCTCCAATTGACATCTAGCCATAGGCACATGCAAGGGTTGGCTAGAAAATGACAAAGGTGGGGAAATCTTTATATTATAAACCATTGCCTTTTGAAGAATCTCAAGTATTCCTTAACCACTCTAATGAGAAACTCTGCCATGAAAAAAGACTGAAGTCTTCACCTTCCACCATCACACCCAAGCTAACCCTTCAGCAAACAGGATGAAGAAAGCAACCCTACACATCAGTGTGTCTGGTTCTTCTGGTTGAGGAAGGAGAATGGGGTGACAAAGCTGCTGCCCAGTAGCATGTACTTCGGCTATATCTTGGAATTACTCTGAATTACAGTTAATTAAATCCGCTGTGTCCTTTTATTCTCCATGCAGCAATGCTCTGTTGCCCAAAAGATCTAAATTTGATTATCCCAAATAGGAAACTCTAAGCTAGTCCAGCACTCTTTATTATTTTCTATTTTCCCAGATAAATATATTAACAAGACAATAATAATTTCCTTGAAAGGCAGTACTTCTGCCAAAATAAAATGCTTCAGAAATATGAAGAATCTGGCGGCCCCACCTCCCTCAGCTCTAAAAATTCCCAAGTTCAAGCCATTGATCATGTGAGGCTGTAACCAGGCCCCACTGTAGCCACAAATCCCTCATCTTTCTGATCTAGTTCTCTTGTTACTGAATAAGCCACTGATCCATTGGTCCACAGCTGCAGCTTGGGATCAGGTTCTTTGGCAAGCGACTGCAGCTGGGTTTTTTTCATCCTCTTTACAAGTCTGGCAAAGCCAAGCAACACCGAACTAAATATCATGGAAAATCCACAGAGAAGGAACGCTGCAGTGTAGCTGCCCGTTGTATCTACCAGCCACCCTGCAACAAACAACAGGGAAATTACATTGTTGGGTTGAAAATCCAATTACTATACTTACCCACTCTCAAATCTAATAATTTGTTATCATAATCACAACAGATTGCTAGCACGAGTATTGTAATTTTGAAATTAAAAAACAGATTGTCTAAAAACATGTAGCAACTGAAAAATGCTTATTATTTGGGGGGGCAACTTCTAAAATAAAATGATTGTTATTAAGTAAAGTTGATGGAAGAATATCATGTACTTAGTAATCATACAATAATTTTTTTGTGTGTGTGTGTCCGGTGGCTTTTTTTTCAGTACTGGAGATTGAATCCAGGGGCACTCTACTGCTGAGCTACATTCATGGTCCTTTTTTGTTTTTTTATTTTGAAACAGGTTCTTACTAAATTGTCCAAACAAGGATTGAACTTATCACACTCTTGCCTCAGCCTTCCTAAATGTCGAGATTACAGGAGTATACCACGATGCTGGGCTGCCCCATGATTTTAAACATTATTCAAATTATTGACGTTCATATTATTTATCTCGATGTTAAAAGAATATAATTATGCAAAAGCTCTTTGTATTTCCAGCACCCATGTACTATCTTATGTAACATTATAAGCTTCAAAGGAGTATCAAACTTTTCAGTTGGATCCATCTTTAACTGTACCCCTTACAGGTAGAAAATCATAACTTTGGGTCATCATACATGTGGTAAAACATACTTCTGAAGGCAGACATCTGTAACCACAAGGTGTTTTCCCCTTTGTCTCTGTAACAAATTAGTTTCAATACCTTTCCCAGTTTTAAATTTTAGAGTTTTTTGGGGGGAGGGGAGGATTGACCTCGGACCTTGCACTTGCAAGACAGGCAGCGGAACCATTAAGCTAAATCCCCAGCCCCCAGCTTTAAATTTTAAAGAAAACCAGGGCAGGGCTGGGGATTTAGCTCAATGGTGAGTTGTCATTTTAAAGTTAAATAAAGAAGAGAAATTTTACCAGATCTCACATCTTCATCTTTTAACTTCTGTTAATGATCATAATGTCTAACTCGCCAAATGAAGGCTAGAAATAGAAAAAAAAAAAAAATCCTGGTATCCCAATTTCAAGTATTTCTTTTGACATGTAACAGAATTATATTGTTTCTAAAAACTGGTAAACCCTAAAACTGGCTATGAATAGAGGATGTGGAAACATTTTGGAAGTAGTTTTCAAAAATGAGGCAATGGAGTTTAAAATGATCAGAAATTTTTACCTGCAGTAATAAGCAGCCAGAATTTCCCTAGCATGCTGCTTTAGCACTTGCTAGAGTTTGGAAATAAACATAAACTGTGTATTTATAATAGCAACTAATATCAGAAACTGCCTTCTTCAAGAAATCGTCTTCCCTTTTTAGGCAAATATTTGGATCATTTCTCTCCTGCCTGTTTTCAGAGGTCTTGTTTACTCTCTTAGATTTAATTTAGCATTCAATCTTCCAGACCAGTTAATCTAAATCTTTAGTATGCCTGAACATCACAAGGGAGCTGGCTGAAAATGTAGATTCGTGGAACCTACTTACAACAGTACTACTCTGCCATAAAGACAGATAAACTTGAGTCATTTGTAGGAAAATGGATGTACTTTGAGAACATAATGTTAACTGAAATAAATCAGACACATGAGCTTACATATCACATGTTTTTCTTGTACGCAAAACCCAAAATGTAAAAACAGCAAAATAGAGGTTAGATAATAGGAAGTAGGGACATCTTTCTCAAATGGGAAGGGAATCAAAAGATGGATGATGGTGGGGTGAGAAAGGAATTAAGACATATTATGTACCTAAGAGAACTATAAACATTATATACTGCAAACATGCATCAATAAAGAATAAGTTTGAAAAAGTTCAGATCATAGGTGAAAGGGTCAAGCAATCTGCACTTTTTAACAAGTGCCCTTAGGGACTTGGATGCAAAGGTCCCAGGATCTCATTCCAGGAAACACTGCTCTAGACCACAAGTTCCAGAAAGGAGAAACAAGTTTGGACCAGTCTGCTGCTGCCAGATTGCCAGAATCAAGCAAAATGCTAGCTATGAAAAATCAATTTTATTGAATTACTTGAAGTATGCAACAAATATCTGTCAAATTATTTGATCATGCTCTAAATTTCTATAGCATTTTATAGTTTATAAAAAAAGACTCTGGAAGATTTATCTGGCGACTCTGAGATCTACATGTCCAAATCTGGTCTCCCTCTAAATTGTAGTACACCTTGTTGAGCGTTTTCATCTGTTTATTACAAGTGTCTTACTATGTCTAAACTTTAAATTCATCATTTTTCAGGCAAAGGCACTGTCTTCAATTTCCTTATTTCTTTTAACCATGATTTTTTTCTGACTCATCTTTAGCTCCTTTCTCTCCTTCACCTCTGCATGCTATATTCAGTTTGTTTTTCACAATTTCCTCCTTTCCTTCAGAGTTCATTTCCATTTCTGCTACAGCATCACTAGTTTAGGCCTTTATTGGTTTGCCTCTAAACCATTAAAACAGAATCTTAACTACCTCTGTCTTTAATCACTAGATCCATTGCTAGATCACATTTTCTAAGATACACTTTTTACCTTTACCACTTTGCACAAAAACTTTAATACAACCCACATTTGTAAATGCAAATGGTAAATGAAAAATCGAAATCCCAGCCCCTTCGCCTGGCACTCAGGATCCTCCACTAAGACACAAGTACCTCTCACTTCAACCTCATCACTCACTGCTCCCTACTGGAATCCTGTTCTCACCAGACTTCTCTCTGAATGTGCCCTACTTATTTAGAAGTTTCAACAGCTGCTCCACTCTGTTACTCCCATTATTAGTATGGGATGGAACCTAATTTAGGACCTTTTATTTCCAGGTAAGCTAAGGCTCCCACTTTGTTGAAAAAAAGATTATAAAGCAAGGATGACGGTAAGAACATGATGGTTCATTGTTATTGTTTGGTTTTTGTTTTGTTACTGGGGCCTTCACACTGAGCTATATTTCTGGCCTCTTTCTTTCTTTCTTTCTTTCTTTCTTTCTTTCTTTCTTTCTTTCTTTCTTTCTTCTTTCTCTCTTTCTTTCTTTCTTTCTTTCTACCTACCTACATACCATCTATCTCTTTCTTTCTTTCTTTCTTTCTTTCTTTCTTTCTTTCTTTCTCTCTTTCTTTCTTTCTTTCTTTCTACCTACCTACATACCATCTATCTATCTATCTATCTATCTATCTATCTATCTATCTATCTGTCTATCTACCTACCTATCTACCTACCTACCTATGATAGGACTCACTAAATTGCTAAGTTGCCCAGGCTGGGCTTGAACTTGGAGATCCTCCTACCTCACCTTCCCAAAGTGATGGAATTACACGTGAAGACCACAATGCCTGGCAAGAACATAATTCTTTTAATGGCTCTTGCATCCTGGTTCTTTTTCACTCACCCCTGCTCTCTTGCCAATCCATCTAGTTGTGTGTGTGTGTGCGTGCATCTGTGCATTGATTCACTCGTGACAAAAGTAGTTGGTGGTTCTTTATAAAAACTCACCTGCAATGGGTGGGCTCACCAGGTAGGGCACTGCATGAAGGAAGTATACCACACCGAGTGCTGATGACAAAGACGTGGTCCCCACTATTTCCGCAGTCACTACTGGAATCAGGGTCACATAGGCTCCATCAAAGTAGCCAAAGGTACAAGAGAAAGGCACAAGCAGGGGGAGGCTTTGAAGCATTGGGAGGCAAAGATAACACAGGCCATCTAGTCCCACTGCAAAGAGGTAGCAAATATACCGGTAACTCTTCAGACACCTGTGGATTTGAAGAATGAGAATGAGTGCAGGTTGCACAAGTTCTGTAAAAGAGTTTTAGAATCAGGGCCTTGCAGCAATAAGCACTGCAGTTATTTCTAAACATGACTTCTTCTTTGTATGCTACCTGTGCTGTCTTCCCAATTTTCTTTTGGTAAATGCAAATGTAAGAATTTATCTCTCTAGGAAAACAGAGAAAACATAGATGGCTGAGAAATATATATATATAT